ATTAAATTTAACCTATTGCTTATTTTCTGACTTCCCTCCGCTAGAATGTAGTAACCCAATTGTTTGTACACTGAATAATCTCAAACAATTAGAACACTGTGGACATAGTAGACAGTATATTTTTGAGTAGATATATTTTTCAGAAGACTGTTACGTTAATTTAAAACATCCACATTTTATGCTTAATTATTATAAACTTAATTTTAAAATGCTTTGAGTTTTAAAATATTACTATAAGTTCTCTATCTTTTATAAGAATATGAGCCTGATAAAGTATGGGTTAACTCTTCCCTGCTTTAACTCGTTTCCTTTCTGGTTCTGTTACTTTTTAGTTGTTTGCTAAGCTAAGCTCATTTATCATTTTTTTTAAATCAGTACAGTAAGAATTCCTATCCCATGTGGCTGCTGTAAGCATTAAATTAAATAGCTAGTTCATTTAAAGTACTTGACATGGTGCTTCTCACATAGTAAGTGTTCAATAAATGTTGTTAGTACTATTACATCATTCTGGCTTAATCAGTTACTCATTGTTGAGGCATCATACAGTCCAAATAGGATTTTTAAACAAACAAAAAAAATAACCTGAACTTGATGACCTCACATTCATTTAAAAAGTCAATGAGATACAAAAAGAATGGTCTCATAATATGTATCTTATGTGTAACTTAATTACATATAAATTTTACCCTTTCTGCTATTATTTGGTCTCCTAACCATCTTCTATAATCAGCTAAGTGGTTTCAGCAAAACTATCTCTGGATAACTTTTAAAATGCCAAATTACATATGCTGTCTTCTTGTTAGTATGTTGAAAACTTTGAATAAATAGATTATCACTTATATGTTTACAGTATATGTACATAATCAGTATGCAAAAATACTTTCTAAAATGGAAGGCTTCTGAACAACAAAAATCTTAAACACTAGTCCCCATTTTTTAAACTAACAACTGAATCTCTTATCTTTGTCAGAAATCTCCAATTATTCTCCAGTCTAAGAAAAGAATTTTCTCAGTTCAACACTTCCACGACTTCTTTGATATTCTCTTATCAGGAGTTCAGGAGTTGTAAACTCTTGATGTTATTTCTAAGTCGATATGTCACAATTTCTCTCATATATCCACCATGTGCATTGGGCAGGTCGGTATGGTTCTTTCTACTAGAGCGGTAGTCTGACATTATATAAAACTGGTTCTGTCAATGACCAGACTTGAATTTGCAGTAATAAATTTAGCATCCCAAATATTTAAAATGACCATGGGTCTAACATACAATGGCAAACAAGAAATACAATTTCAGAATATCTTTAAATTATAGTACATTCCAATGTCTTCCAAAAAACTTTAAGAAAAACATAATAAGTATTCCAATCGCTTCTCTATTTTCTTTTTGAAAATTAAACTTCACTATAACATTATAGTATTTTATTTCAGTCTATCATAAAAAATGATTTTATAAAAGCACTGGATAACTACCTCACTAATTTTAGAAAATTTTCCTCTATTATAAAAAGATTGGGTCTTCATTACCACATTAACCAAAATTTGGGAGCAGGGGATAGGTTATATTATCATGGGCCCCTCTAATGGAAATAGCATACACAAATTCATTTAAAATGTTTATTTTCAAATTATTGCTGAACTCTAAATAATTTAAAGAAAAAAGCAACTGAACTTCCCAAAACAATTTTTGCTGTAAAATGTGTAATCTAATATTTTACAAGTACAGAACACTACCCAGCAACTTCTCAGCCCCAAGGTGATCCCATCTCCCATTTGACTCAGTAGCCATTCCAGCTTGCAGGGCTCTCCTGAAACCCATCTTCGTTTCAGTCTGGGCACATGAGCTTGTTTACCAAATCACAAAGAAAACATAAATCTTTAGGTAATGCCAACTGACTTTGCAAGCTTACTCTCACTCTCTCACACACACCAACATACACATTTACACACACACTAAACAAAAATCCACATACACATGCTTAGGCACAAACACTGCCAGTGTAAGAAGTATCCTACTTCCTCTGTGCCCTGGAGTCCTCCCCATAAACACTTTCCTGCCTTTTTACCGTTTGTTGCCCTCCTTTTCATCTCCTCTGTCATTGTCTTTATCCAGGGTCTCACCAGCATTACTGCATTAGTATCATAATTGGTCTTACTGTCTCCAGTTTTTCCTCCCCTCAAAGCCATCCCCCACACTGATTCCAGAATAATATCTCACATGAAAACTCTAATTCAAAAAGATAACTGCACCCCAATGTTCATAGCAGCACTATTTACAATAGCCAAGACATGGAAGCAACCGAAATGTCCATAAACACATGAATAGATAAAGAAGATGTAGTATACATATACAATGGAATAATACTTAGCCATAAAACGAATGAAATAATGTCATTTGTAGAAACATGGATGGACCTAGAGATTACCATACTAAGTGAAGCAAGTCAGACAGAGAAAGACAAATATCTATGATATCACTTACATGTGGAATCTAATAAAAATGATACAAATATGGGATTAACATATACCATACTACTACATATATATACTACTATATATAAAATAAACAACAAGGACCTACTGTATAGCACAGGGAACTATATTAATATCTTGTTATAATCTTTAATGGAAAAAATCTGAAAAAGTATATATATATACACATATATATATGTATATATACATTTATATATATGAAATCACTTTGCTGTACACCTGAAACTAACACAACATTGTAAATCAACTATACTTCAATAAAAAAACAAATAAAACAAAACAAAAAAACAGGAATAATCTCTCACAAATTAAATTTAATCAAGAAATTCCTCTGAGGTATATTATATCATTCAGTGCTCCCTAAGTCCTTTAGGATAGAGTTCTAATTCCACAGTGTGTTATAATCTAACCCCTGTTTTCCCACTAATCTCTTTATCTGTCTTTATCCCACACATGCACTATACCCCAACTACTTTTAACTACATGTAGTTTTCTGAAATGATCATAATATGTAACAGCTTACTGGGTTTGCCCATGCCCTTCCTTTCTCTGAAAATGCTTTCAAATACTTCTTTACTTGGGTATCTTACACTCTTTTAAGACAGTAGAAAGGCATGGTAGTCATTAATTCTGTTCACATATCTTCCAATTTTCCTTTCCCTTTGCGTAGAGGCCAATATTGTACTTCACAGTCCCCCATTTGAAATAAAGCAATTTGCTTTGACCAGTGAAACTGTATATGCCAGTGCATAACTAGCCACTCTTTCTTCTCACTTCTGCAGTGATCATGGAAGTACATTCAGATGAAGTCTTCAATGTCTTTGGTCACTGTGAGTCCCTACCAATCCAATTTGGACATGTAGTCTGTGTGAGAAATAAATATTTGTTGTGTTAAGATTGGGAGAATGGGATTGACATGTACACTGCTATATTAAAAATAGATAACCAACAAGGACCTACTGTATAGTGGAAGGGAACTCTGCTCAGTATTCTGTAATAACCTAAATGGGAAAAGAATTTGAAAAAGAATAGATACATGTACATGTATAACTGAAGCAATTTGCTGTACATCTGAAACTAACACATTATTAATCAACTATGTTCCAATATAAAATAAAAATTAAAAAAAAGAAAGATACTGAGCTTTGGGCTTCTTTGTTCCTACAGCATAACCTAGGCTATTTGAGTGATTCAAAGGGTTACATTTTTCAGGAAGACTTCCATGAGCCCAACACAGTCTGATTAAATGTTGCTTCCCCAAGTAACGATAATGTTCTGTTCATACTGCTGCAATTTCTACCTCCCTTCAAAGTGTACTTCTGAGGGCAGGAACTGTGTATTTCATTCCTTATCCTCACCAACTAGCACTGCTCATGGTAAGTCCTTAAAAAATATTTGCTAAATTAAGCATTCATTCATTCACTCATCAAAGGCCAGGGACTACTCTGGTGGCTAGAATAAAACCAGAGCAAACAAAACCCCTTGCCCTCATAGGAATAACTAATATTCTTGCAAATGATAATGACAGTAAGACAAATAAGTATAAAATACATAGTTTATTAGATAAGATAAATGCTAAGTAGAAAACACAGAGCAGGGATATTTTGGATGGTGACCACGTAAGACCTCATTTAGAAAGTGACCTTTTAATAACAACCCAAAATAAAGTAAATAAATTGGTCATGCAGATATCAGGGAGAAAGCAATTCAGTAGAGAAAATAATGGAGAAACCCTGAGATGGGAACACGCCTGTCATGTTCAAATAAAAACAAGGGAGACAGTATGGCTGAGCAAGTGAGTAGTTAGGGATGAGATTAGAGAGGTAACAAGGAGCCAGGTCTTGCAGAGACATACAGGTCAGTTTCAAAGCTTTAGCTTTTGTCTTGAGTGAAATGGGGAGCTATTGAAGAGTTCTAATTAGAATGAGGGGTGGAAGAAGAGAGTAGAAGATAGGGTTACAGATATAATGGGGGACCATTTTCTTCCATTTTATAACATATTTCCTCTCTCCACAAAACATGTGAGACATAGATGTACCAATTAATCAAGAAAGATTTAAAATAATGTTGAATAATATTTTATGATGATCTTAATTTGTTCATTACTTACTATGCAGGGACATTGATTTTAACCAATATATAATTATCAACATATAGTTATGTATCAAAGTATCATAGTGTATCAAACATGAAGAGAGATCAAATATTTAATGTGGCAACAAATTCTCATAGACAATTAATAATACTAAATGATTTAACAAATTAATCAGATAAAAATTTATAGTTTTATGGATCTTGCTTCATTTTCTTGGATTTACCCAAAATCATAAAATAAATCCAAGTAAAAAACTTTCCCTATTGTAATCCTGCCTCCCATAAAAAAGAACTAATTCCAAACTCAAGTTCATTGCCAGAAACAAACAAACCAAAACAAGAAAAACAAAGTAAAAGAAAACAAACCACAAGTCAAAACACCTTTTGCCAAATGTTAAATCAAATAAACACACCTTGTGTTGTGTCCTTGAGGCTGCCAAGTCTTAACTCTGGAGAGATGTCAAGGGGTAAGATGTTTGCAAAGGCAAGATCTTTACTGAGGAAGCTGTGCTCGCATTCCTGGCAAATTCAACTCCAGATACCAGTAATAATACTGTTGGTTGCTTTTTCTTACTGGAATCCAAAACAGAGTATATGGAAATATTAAATGGATAATCTCCAGTTCCTTAACGTCCACAAAGTTAAATCACTGCGGTAGCATTTTCCAAGTTGTGGTTTGTGGTTTGCTAACTCTGTTATATGTTCATTCAAATTAAGTTTCTATGGCCATGTATACTTGATAAACATTGCATACTATTCCCCCTTTATACAAGGTACACTTTCATAAAAAAGCTCTGAGAATTCCTATAATAGAAAAGCCTATTTAAATTTACTTGACCCAATGTGTCCCAAATTTATTTAAGTAAAGACCCCCTTCCACTGTAATAAACAGTAACACTATTTCTGCAGATCACACTTGAAGAATGGTTCATTGTATAGCGATTATCTGAAAAGTAGTAAGAGATGTTTCCACTATATTTTAGACTTAAATATGAATGTAGAGACTAATCTGAATTTATTTTCTGTTATTGCAATTTGTAGAGTTGACCTATAAATATATTTATTCAACCATAATTGTTAAGTACATGTTACTTTCTAAATCAAATACCAATTAAAAAGCAACAAGGAAAACATTCAAATAATGTATGGTTTATTCCTTTTAGTTCAATGAATATTTATTAAATACTTATTATGTGCCAGGCACTGAACTTATCTCTAGCTTTATGCCACAATTGCCCTCACATAGATAAGAGTATCAAATTTAAGTGGTTCCCAACTGCTGTCTAACAATAATAATCAACACAAAATTTAACTCAAAGTATTGGAGAATACAAGTTTTACTAACTGTAATTATATCATTAAAAATAGCTTGCAGAGGTGGCCAAGATGGTGGAGTAGGAAGACCATGAACTCACCTGGAGTTCAACAGACACACCAAAATTACAACTACTTACAGAGCAATTCTCCATGAGAACAACATGAAGAATAGCATATAGGATTTTTCACAACTAAACACATAAAGAAGGGACCACAAGAAGATGAATAGGAGAGGCAGAGATGTGGTATAGTCAGAGCACACTTCCTCAGGTTGTCAAACCACAAATGAAAAGAATATCAAAATCTTAGAGTTCCTCCCCAAGGAATAAGAGGCCTGAGCCCCACACTAAGCTCCCTAGCCTAGGGGTCCTGCACCAGGAAGACAAATCCTCAGAATGTCTGGCTTTGAAAACCAGCAAGTCTTATGTTTGGGAGAGCCAGACAGCTATAGGAAACAAACTCTCTGCTCTCAAAGGGCATGTACAAAACCACATGTTCTGAATCCCAGCACAGAAGCAGTAGTCTGAGAGGGACCTGGGTTAAACCCACTTGCTGATCTTGGAGAGCCTCCCAGAGAGGCAGGAGGTAACTGGAACTCCCCATGGGGATGGAGAAGCTGGCAACAACCATTTCTGGGAGCTCATTCTACAGCAATACCACCAGCTTTGTCAATCCCCATTTTGGAATCCTCCCTCAAGCCATCAGTGGGAGAGCAAAAGACCCATGCCTCCCTGGACTGTGTGGACAGCTGCCCAGAGACTTGGCCATGCTCTCTAGCAGGGCAGTGCCAGCTCAGTGCCCACCTGGACCAGGCAAACAGCCATGCTAGTACTCAGCCCCACACATCAGCAGGAGAGCAGCAGTCCTATTTCCCCCAGGCTGTACAACCAACTGCATGGGGAGCTCATTCCATCCCCTAACAGGCCTGCAGCTACCACACAACATGTGGCTTCACAGCCAACTGGGTTGGGGCCAGCCTCACCTACCAGCACAACCATGGTAGTCAGCCCTGCCACACAGAGGGCACATGCAGCCCATGTATGGGACACCCCTAAGACATATAGTTCTGCTGACCAGAGGGGAACATGCTGCTGGGCTACATAGGATATCTCTTACATAAGGCCACTTCTCCGAGAAGAGGAAACAATTGACTGATCTAACATGTAGAAATAAACAGAGAACTGGGGAAAATGAGGCAACAGAGAAATATGTCCCAAATGAAGGAACAAGTCAAATCTCAGAAAAAGACCTAAACAAAGGGGAGATAAGTAATCTACCCAATAAAGAGTTCAAGGTAATGATTATAAAGATGCTCACCAAATGCAGGAGGAGAATGAGAATTTCAACAAAGAGCTAGAAAATATAAAGAAGAAACAAAGAGACCAAAGATTACAATAACTGCAATAAAAAAAATTTACTAGAAGAAATCAATAGTAGATTAGATACAGAGGAACAGATCAGCAATCTGGAAGATAGACTACTGGAAATTACCCAAGCTGAACAGAAAAAAAAAAAAAAAAAAAAGAATTTTTAAAAATTAGGATCGTCTAACAGATCTCTTGGACAACATCAAGCAAACTGACATTCACATTATAGGAGTCACAGAATAAAGAGAAGAAAGAGCAGATAACTTATTTAAAGAAATAATAGCTGAAAAGTCCCTAACTTGGGGAAGGAAGCAGACATCCAAGTCCAGGAAGCACAGAGATTCCAAAACAAGATGAACACAAGAAGGTTCATGGCAAGACACTTTATAAATAAAATAGCAAAAATTAATGATAACAGAGGATATTAAAAGCAGCAAGTTAAAACCAACAAGTTATGTATAAGGGAACTCCCATAAGACTATTAAAAGCAGCAAGTTATGTATAAGGGAACTCCCATAAGGCTATCAGCTGACATTTAGCAGAAACTCTGAAGGCAAGAAGGTAGTGGCTCAATATATTTTAAATGATGAAAGGGAAAAACCTACAACCAAAAATACTCTACCTGGCATGGCTTTCATTCGGATTTCATAGAGAGATCAAAAGTTTTACAGACAAGCAAAAGCTAAAAGACTTCAGCACAACCAAACCAGGTCTAAAAGATATATTAAAGGGACTCCTTTAATCAGAAAAGAAAAGGCCACAACTAGAAATATGAAACTTATGAAAGGAAAAAAAATCTCACTGATAAAGGCAAACATACAGTAAATCAACCACTTATAAAGTAGGAAGATTAAAAGACAAAAGTAGTAAAATCATCTATATCTACAATAAATAGTTAAGGGACACAAAAACAAAAATATAATATCAAAAACATTAAACATGGTGGTGGGGGAATAAAAATACAAGGCGGTTAGAATGCCTTCAAACTTAAGAGATCATCAACTTAAAATAATCACACACATACATACACAATACATATGTGTATATATATGTATATAGGTTGTTATATATGAACCACAGGGTAACCACAAATCAAAAACCTAAAATAGATACAGACACAGAAAAAAAAAGAGAAAGGAATCTAAACATAACACTAAGATAGCCATCAAATCAACAGGGAAGCAAAAGAAGAAAAAAAAAAAAAACTACAGAAACAACCCAAAAACAATTAACAAAATGACAATAAGCACATGCATATCAAGAATTACTTTAAATTTAAATGGACTTAATGCTCCTATCAAAAGACATAGAGTAGCTGAATGGATACTGAAAGTAAGGAAATGAAAAAAAATTACTCTATGAAAATTGAAACAAAAAAGACTGAGGTAGCACTGATAGACAAAATAGATTCTAAAACAAAAACTGTAATAAGAAACAAAGTATGATATGACATAATGATAATGGGATCAACTCAACAGGAAGATATAACAATTGTAAATACAAATGCACCCAATATGGGAGCACCTAAATAAATAAAGCAAATATTAACCACTATGAAGGGTGAAACTTACAGTAGTACAGTAGTAGAAGACTTTAATACCCCACTTATATCAAAGGACAGATCATTCAGACAGAAAATCAGTAAAAAAAACACTGGCCTTAAATGACACATCAGAGCAGATGAAATTAATAGATACATATAAAATATTCCATCCCCAAACAGTAGAATACACGTTTTTTTTTCAAGTGCCCATGGGTCATTCTCCATAATAGATCACATCCTAGGCCACAAAATAAGTCTTTATAAATTTAAGAAGATTAAAATCATATCAAGCATCTTTTTCCGTCAAAACGCTATAAGACTAAAAATCAATTACAAGAAAAAAAATACTATAGAAAACACAAGCATGGTGGAAGCTAAACAATATGCTACTTAAAAAACCAATCAGTAATAGAGGAAATCAAATGAAGTAAAAAAATACTTGAAGACAAACAAAAATGGAAACACAGCAATCCAAAATCTGTGGGATGCAGAAAAAGTAGTTCTAAGATGGAAGTTGACAGTGATACAAGCCTACCTCAGGAAACAAAAAAAATCTAAAGAAACAATCTGGTCTTGCACCTAAAGTGATAGAAAATAAAGAACTAACAAAATCCAAAGTTAGTAGAAGGAAAGAAATAACAAAGATCAGAGCAGACATAAATAAAACAGAGACTTAACAAAAAAAAAAAAAAAGAGAGAGAGGGAGAGAGAGAAAAGTTCAATAAAACTAACAGTTGTTTTTTTTAAAAGATAAATGAAATGGATGAACCATTAGACAGACTCATCAAGGAAAACAGAGAGGGCCCAAATAAATAAAATGAAAAAGGAGATGTTACAAATGACACCACAGAAATACAAAGGCTCATAAGAGATTACTACAACCAATTATATGCCAACCTAGAAGAAATGAATAAATTTCTAGAAATGTACAATCCCCAAGACTTGATCAGGAAGAATTTAGAAAATATTGGGTTGGCCAAAAGTTCTTTTGGGTTTTTCTGTAAGACGTATGGGAAAACATACATCTTTATCTGCAAGATGTAATGGAAAAACCTGAATGAACTTTTTGGCCAACCGAATATGAAGAGCCCAATTACAAGTAATGAAATTCAGTCATTAAAAAATAAATTAATTTACTCAATCATTAATTAACAAATTCAATCAGTAATTAAAAAAATATTCTTAACAAAGTCCAGGCCCAGATGGCTTCATAGATGAATTCTACCAAATATTTAGTTAACATCGATCCTTCTCAAACTATTTGGAAAATTGAAGAGGAAGGAACACTTCCAAACTCATCTTACATGGCTAACATCACCCTGAATACCAAAACCAGAAAAAGAGAC